TTTTTTTTTTTTTTTTTTTTTTTTTTTTTTTTTTTTTTTTTTTTTTTTTTTTTTCGTTATGTCAAGTAGGCCAACATCACATTTACATCTCTAGTTTTTTAACGATTTTTTTCCTCGTTTTTTGTTCATCTTGTTCAGCTTTTAACCGTTAAACCGATATCATCCTTAAACTTGTAGTAAATTTTTTTTTCATTATGTTTCTTTGATGTCTTTTTTGCAGCTCTCATGTGATTTCAACATCAAAATCAAGAACGAGGAGCTTAGTCTCTTCAGTACCATTGCGACTACCCACTGCACACACAAGTTTTGTATCACTAGCGCGGATTCGCCATACAACACCTCCACTTCCGCCACTTTCTAGAGCTACAAGGTTTCTAATAAATTCTCCTGAAACACAAAAATAAATTTTTTTCATGTTCATTCAATATTTTTTTGTTAAATTTTATAAGACTTTTTCATCATCTGAAAATTCTAAGCAAATCTTTTACCAAAGTACGTAACAAACACTTATTATTATTTTTACAAAAATGTTAAGTTACATCAGAAACCATTGCATCACGAGTTAATTGCTTTGTACTAAAAAAAAACTTTTTTAATAAAACAATAAATACAAACCAGTTTTGACATCCCACAGCTTTACTGTACCGTCATCTGACGAAGTAATAACAAAATGGCTGTTGAATTGCAGACACGTGACCGCAGACTGGTGCTTGTTAGCTCCAGAAAGCGTTTGCAAACATTGCCCGCTCAAGATGTCCCACACCTTCACAGTGGAGTCGGCGTTACCAGATACTAATATATTATTACGCAGCTCCATACCGGATGTGAGGCTTTGATGCCCCATCAGGGTATGCCGACATGCACCTGTTTCTACGTCCCACACTCGGATGCTTGTATCCAGAGATCCGCTCACCACGTGTATTCCATCAAACTGTATTAAAGAAAATCAATATATTCTTTGCTACAATAAAAATTAAAAAAAAGTTTTGACGTACCTGAAGAGAATACACTCTGTTAGTGTGGCCCGTCAATGTGTGCAAGCACTCCTCACGCTCAGGATTCCAGACTTTCACTTCGAAATCGTAGGCACCGCTTACGACTAGTTTACCGTCATATTGAACGCAGCGAACTGCTGCTCTATGGCCAACGAGGACGTGCAAGCACTCGCCAGTTTCAATATGCCATACGCGCAATGTTGCGTCCCGACTACCGCTAACCACTTTATTGCCATGAAGATGCATACAACGTACGGTCGACGTATGGCCGAAAAGCGTGTGCTTACATTCACCTGTTTCTGCGTTCCAGACTTTTAGCGTACGGTCAGTGCTGCCGCTGATAACTGTAGTGCCTGACATTTGAGACGACCAAACACCACCCGTGTGACCGCACAACGTGCGTAAACACTACAATTAACATACGTCAGTAAATTATCTGGACGACTTGTGAGAATTAATTACATCTATTTCAGAACTTACTTTACCAGTTACCGCTGACCATACTTTCAATGTGTTGTCATCCGAACCACTTACTATTCTATTACCAGAAAACTGAAGGCAGGTGATAACATGGTCATCGTGGCCCTTGAGCACCTTTGGTGGTCGGATAGGCCTACTCCTCCAGTTCATTTTGATATTGTGTTGTCTCATGTATGCGCGCTTCCATCGTGAAGTAGTATGGATCATTGAGGAGCCACTACTACCCAAATCACCTCCTGCACCATCGCAATTGGCACTACTCTTGGCCTTAAGCGCTTTAGCAACCTTTGATCTAATCGTTCTTGGCCTTCTTGGGACACCCCTGAGACTGTCAATACCCGCAGCCTTGCACTTTTCCTTCCAGAGTAGATTGTCATCGGCAAGAAAACGCCATGAGCGACAGGTTTGCGCGGCCCTTAACAGATCCCGTGGTTCCAAAAACGATAACACAGATAAAGCCAGTTCTCGTGGTAGCAGCGAAATAAAGTCGCGCTGGAACTGTGGCTCGATCACTTGCATCATGTGCCGCACTTGCGTTGGCTCGCACCGTTCGATCAATTCGTCTATTGCTAGCATACGCTCCGCGTTTGTCCATTTCTACAAAGTAAGGTATTATGTGAAGACAACGAGTAAAATCTCTCATATGTAACATAAAGGTAATAATATTACAAAAAAGTAAAATGCAAACTACTTACTTGAAATTGATACAACCAATCATTCATTTCTGGAGGAGGATTATCCTTTGTCGGTATGATTGGTCTGACATGTTTAACTTTGTCATCCAGTCTTTTGATAATGCTATTAAATAAAAAAATACATATTTACGTATGCTTATGCATTATTTGTATGTGCAATAAAGTTATGACTTTGCAAAAATAAAGCGAGATTTTTTCCTTAGTAATCATTCACAATTCAATAGCTAAAAAAGTGCTTTTTAAAGAATATGTCAAAGAATGCTAATAAAGATGTGACACTTACAATGATTTTTCATCGGTGCTGAGCTTCTTGCAAGGTAAGGTAACAAAGTCAGATTCACTTTTTCTCTTTCTTGGGGGCAACACAACGTCCAAGGGCACACATGTTTCAAGGTTTGGACTCTGAGCCCGCTGTGGAGACTGAGGCTGCTTTGGCAAAAGCACAGAGAGACAGTCTGACTCACTCGTTTCACCCTCACTCTTTGCAGACAGTGCTCTGTCGATACTCTACAATGAAGAAAACTTGGTCACTAAAGACCCAAAAATAGCACACTCTGAGTGACTGAAAGTGAAAAAAAAAGCACATTATCACCTCGCTATCTGCATCTGAACTCTCTTCCGTCTCTTCTTCAGTTGTTTCTTCTGCATCTTCTGCTGTTTCCTCCTCATCTGGTGCTAACGATTCAATTGAATCAATTTTTAATGTACTTGGGCCTGGAGCACTTTCAACTGTTTCTGTAGGACTTAGACTTGTACCGCTCAAATTTTTACTGATTAATCCTTTTAATGATGGAGGGACAGACATTACTGGTATCAGCTGCAAGAAAAAACATTTTTTTAAAACTCTATCATTTCATTTTACATTTTTTTTAAATTGTTGATGTACGTTGGCTCTTAATAAACAACTTTTCTATTAAGCAGACAATGGTTTGGCCACCAATGAAAGACTATTCACTAAGCTTTTACCTTCTGCCAAAATTAAAATGCAACGAATTTTAAACAACAATCGCAACTTTTATTGACACTTTGAGCTCCAAAAAAGAGCCAACTCATCAAAAGAGTGAAGGTGAGTTTTAAAGTTGTTTCTCAGCAACAAAAGTCAAAAGAGAAGTGTAAAACTCACGGAATTTTCTTACAAACCAAAATTCCAAGCTCAGTTCGACGATAAATAAAACAAGAAAGGTAATAATGTAATAAAATGGACTTACAACTCGCACAATGTTACTTCGAATTTCCAATACACGCGGGTCCCTTTAGGTATATAAAAGGCAATAAATATTTACAAGTCGAAATACTTAAAAATAGAGAAGAGAGCAACATTAAAATAAATATCAAAGTAATAGAGATCGTTACGAGGGACTCTTAAAATAAAAAATAAATTTAAATAACGTGCACGTATGCACGAGAAAAAAGGAGCAGTGAGCATATATATGGCATAGGACGAACCTAACCTTGATATCTGTCTTCCTTGCATGACTTTTTCTACACACCTAATACTTACATGTAAATATTACACCCTCCGTACTCTTTCTCTTATGATGTATACACACTGTTATATATTTACATAATTATGTTGCAATAAATCTGCATAATTTCTTAAATCTCTTATATGTCCAACCCCTTACTTTACTCAGAAAATCATCGGATACGAAGGTTTCTGACAAACAGGAAAAATAAATGGTAAGTACTTTTCAAACTATCACGTTTTCTTTTTCGTTCGCTGCATCTCGGAGATTTCGACTATAATTTCTAGTGTTATCAAAAGAGTAAACATTTCGTTAGTAATGTATCATTGAAAATAAACCAAATAAGTATCACATCACATCCACAAAATAAGTGCGATCGAGAGAAAAGCAAACTCACGCGACACGATAGACAATAGCTTGTTTCTCCGCACACAGTTTCCTTGTTTTTCTCGATCCCTTCCTCCAGTAAATTTCTCGTCTTAATTATTTTCTCGGGAGCATGAGTAGTTTTTCAACTTGGCTAGGCAAGGTAATAAATTTTCTCCAACAAAATGCAAGTGAGCCTCCCTTGAGAGTTTTTAGCTATAACTTACATGTATACATGTAAGTGCGTATGCGAGCAAAAATAATCGGAGCACTGGCAGCCTGGCAGCAGCAGGCGAGGCTCTCTCTCTCTCTGTGTGGCTCTTTCTTTCTCTCTTTCTCCTCCTCCACCTTCCTCAGCTTCCTCACACTCCTTTCCACCGCGTGTTTTCTTACACTGCAGCCCGATATTCAAGTATAGAGTTTGAGAGAGAAACATCAAACCCACAAAACTATTTACTCGATTAAGAAGTAGAAGCGTGTTTTCATTATGTGTTTAATATAAATTACAACACACTTTTTTGACATCATCGATTAGCCCAGTCGGTCCGGAGTGCACCACTATTACACTTGAAAAAAAAAAAAAAAAAAAAATTCTAATAAACTTAATACATTCATACTTCGTTAACAAAATTCCATTGATCTCAGCGTGAACGATTTTAATCACAAAACCACGTGCACTCGGAGCAGACTGGCCTGATCGATCATTAAATCTATTTATTTGACTAGCTCCTTAATTATTTTGATTCTGAAAATCGATCTGATAAAGTATTAAACACAACTTATCTTTGAGATTTTCTACAGTATATAAACAGAGTGCGCGTATGTGAAAGAGTATACCCATATATACGCCCATATACGTGTCACTTGGTTTACTTCTGCTATTCCGCACCCACATCCGCTCTCTGCACTCCCCTTTTTTTTTAGGGTTTCATTAACCTTTGAAACTCGTGTACTCGCAATCTAATTACTTATAGTTTACTAGCTCTCAAAACACCAGAGATCCTTGTTGGGGAACGCAAAAAGTTTCGATTCATGCAACAAACAAAAAAATTGGCTAACCTCTTTGAAGATGATGTGCTGGTGATGACCACCGTCGTTGTTCTCACAAGCACTATAGTCTTTTGTGGTATTATACACAAGTACCTACCTACCTACTCTCCGTGTGTCTACAGGTGATCTGCGATGTATAAAAACCCCCCCTTGAACGTGCACTGTGTGTTTTAAACGCGGTGGCGAGCGGTGTAGAAGATGTATTTTTTTACGCACCACCTCTGGCTCTCTCTACCCTCCACACACTACGTGGGTATTATTGTATATACCACGTTATACACTGTTCGGTTCAGTCAACGCTTACCTACAATTTTCACCACTTGGAGCATTTCACGCGAGCTCTTTGGCGTTAGTTGTCGAACAACTTAATTCTTTCTCTCTCGGAGATTTTAGTAATCACCACTTTATCACCAGAGGATACATATTTTTTTTTGTCTGATGGCGTTTTTTTTGGAACCCATAGAATCCCAGCCCCAGGATTGTATTGTTTTATGCGACCGTGTAGGCCAAGGACGTGGGTTCGAATCTCGATCGTGTAACGCCAGGAATTTGACTAATTTGTACCAACAAACGGGAAAGGAGAAATTGGAGTGAAGATAAATGTAAAAATAATTTTTAAAAATTAAAATGAATAAAAAATAAAAACCTTGAAACTTTTGAGTTTACGAATTTTACCGAGACATTTTTATAGAATAAGTAGTACTTATGATGATTTGAGATGTAAAAGAAAGCTAAATATATACATTTTTGGAAACAACTTACAAATGTTGTTATTGACCCGTCTGATCAAGTTGGCCACGCAATTTAAATATAATAATATATGCAAGTAATTTTT